AAGCATTGCTTTGAAACTGACAGCTTTTGATGTCCATCTTCTATAGACCTCTACCCCTCCCCCTGGTCTAGTCACGCGTGGAATTCAGCAAGGGGGAGCCACACATACATATCTCTGTTGTGATACTGGAAAGAGTTTGAGTTTTCTCAATTTCAGAAAGTCTCTTCTCCATTTTATTTATCTCAATACTGTAACACAGTTATCATGTAGTTTCTTCTTGGGTCTAATATTCATGAAAGTCTCAGAGTAAGGATTTTCTTGAGAGTTTGCCTTGGAAAATGGAATCTTTAATTGATATCTTCCTCCACTTATGGGTGGAGATGGTGGGGGCGGAATATGGATGAGAATGACCTGTATAAAATATAACAATATGGCTGGCTGGAGGAGGCAGAAAATATGAAAAAAATGGAAAAATATTTCTTTCATATCAGGAAGAATATGGAAGAACTTATTAAATAACTTAGTACAGTGACTTCTTGCATAAAATTTTGAAACACATTGGGTAATTTTACTTGTCTTGGAATTGAATTTGTAGAGAATATATGTTCTTGTCTGTAACTGTCCCAGATGGGCAAATGTGTGGTTTTAAAATTATTACTGATCTGTATCTCTAAGTTTCCTCCCTTCTAGGCAATAAAGGCATAGTGGGATTATCTTAAAATTGCCAGCTATTTTTTTTTCTGGTTTCTTCAGGATAGGCTCATTTTATATAATTATAAAGTTCCACTATCTTAGACCTTTTTTCCCCTCATTGAATTTATTGGCACATTTTAGGTATACAGTACAGTTACATTCATTATTGGGATCTTGTGCCTTTACATGACAGGCAGGTCTTGGTTTTCATTTTTTCCCCTTGTCCCTGCCCTCCCTTCACCCCCTCCTCCCCTCCCATTTACAAATACTTTATTTCCATTTTTTCATTTTCTCCTATTTTTTCTTTTCCCTTTGTACCTTTCTCGTACGCTTCCCACTTTCCCTACACCTTTAGCCCTTTTCTTCCTATTACACATTGTCAATTATATCATTAGGATCTTATGTACTATTATAGTTTTTCACACCAGAGAAACTGTTCTGTATTTATGCATGTGTGACTTATTTATTTCACTTAGGAGTATATCCTCAATATGTATTCATTTTCCTATGAATGAATCTAATTTCTCATTCTTTATGGCTGAGTAGTATTCCACTTTATAGAAAAACCACATCTTCTTTATTCAGTTTCCAACTGATGGGCAAATGGGCTGTTTCCAAGTTTTAGCTATTACAAACTGCTGCTATAAACATAGGTGTGCATATATCACTGTGATATGATTCTTTTAATTGTTTTAGAAAGTTACCCAGCAGAGGTATGGCTGGGTCAAATGGAACCTCTAGTCCCAGCTCTTTGAGGTATCTTCATATTGATTTCCATAGTGGTTGCACCAATCTGCAGTCCCACCAACAATGGAGAAGGGTTCCTTTCTCCCCACAACCCCACATGGAAGACCCAGAAAACTCCACCAAAAGACTCTAGACTTAATTGACACTTTCCGCAGAGTAGCTGGATACAAAGTTAACAAAATCAATAGCCTTCTTGTACACAAATAACAGACTCACTGAAAGAGAAATTAGGGAAACAACTCCTATCTGCAATAGCATCCAAAAAATATCTTAGACCTTTTAATCTCTCTCTTCCTTCTTTTCAAACTAGGGCTGTTTATAAGAGGTTTGGGGAAAGTTTATGTAAGAATAAATGGCGTTGCTTCATACTTACTGTTTTCTGTTCTAGTGTTGCTAGTATGATCTGATGCTGGACCAATATTTATTAATATTCTGTGCTATGAACCCATGCCCTTCAAAGCCTGTGTGGTTGACCCTGACTAATTCAACATCATTTTAAGACTTTTTGTTCTGGAGCCCTCTGTAGCTGGTTGTCACTGTTAGCTGGTATACTTGCAGACAGGCTACTTGAAACATTTAGCTATAAGGTCACCACCCCCTCCCAGAAATCCCTCTGTCTAGATTACTAGCTAGAATCATTAGGTGCTTCCTGATGTACCGTGCAATAAACGGCAGCTTCTGCATTCTTTCTCAACTACATAATTACTAATAGTATATGACAAATCATCTGAAAACTCCAGGATATAAAATAGCCATTACATTTATATATTCCATGGCTCAGGAATTTGCACATGGCACAGTGGGGATGATTTTTCCTTGATTCCAGTTGGATGAGGTCTCTCCTGGAAATTCCTGCTCGCTGAAATGTGGAATCATTTGGAAGCATTTTCACTGAAATGTCTGATGACACTCACTGTCACTGGCCTGGAACACATCCAGCCTTTCCGTCGGCTTTCTATCTATGGCCTAGTTTGAACCCTCTCGCAGCATGACACCCGAGTTCTAAGTGCAACTGTCACAGAGTGTGGTGGGAATATATAACATTTTTATTAACTGGTCTCAAATCATATAGCACCTCTTCTGTACTGCCCCGATTAGTGTCCTCTCAGGACTACCTTTAGAGTAACATTTAAAATCTGTACCTGGTCTGTAAGGCATGAATGACCTGTGTGTCCATGTCCTTATTTGTCTTTCTCTCCAACTACTTTCTCCCTCTGTCACTCGTCTGTATTTGTACTGACTTCTTGGTAGGTTTAAAACTTGCAGAAGGCATATTCCTACTTTTGGAAACTGGTGGCTCCCTTTGCTAGACTAGGATTCCCTTAGATAATTAGTGTTTCTTCGCTGTCTTCTTACAGTCTCTGATGATATGTTACTTTATTAGTTAGCTTTTCCTGGCTGAATTATTGGAAAAGCCACTCTGCATTATTTTTCCTTTATTCTATTGTTTCTCCTTGGTGCTCCTGGGTCCGTATTTTCCTATCAATATTTTTGGCATTCAAAATTCATCCACACACATATTCTCTATTTGCGAAGAGGTGATGGTCCATCATAAATCGAAAGAATCATTAGTTGAACATGGATTCAATGTGCCTAACCCTCCAAACACTGTAGTTCGCAACATAGGACTGCAGACAGTTGTTTACCCTCATCCCCTGATAGTCAGCTGGGAACTGCAGCATGCTGTTGTGCAACTTGAAAAGACTATCCCACCATATATTACTAGCCTAGGGAAAGACTGAATTTCTAAGTTCGAAATATGGTTTCTACTGAATTTGCATTTCCTTTGTAAAGTTTTCCTAAATTTAAAAAATAGTAACTCGAACCATTGTAAGTCAAGGGCCATCTGTGTAATGTAAATGTGTGATGAAGAACTTAATATTATCCAAAGGGAGGTCTGGCCTTTTCTCTTAGCTTCAGGGGAGGTAATCTCTAAGTCCCTGGAATGTCATACCCGATAAAGTGGTCTTTTTTAAGGGTCATGGACCAGCCAGACAGTAATAATGTGAGTTATTTTGAAGCCTTTGGATCATTTCATATCACTCTGACCTCTTAAGGAACGGAAACAGTCATCAGTCATGTGAGCAGTCAGTTCTGCTTACTTCTGCTTCTGCTGTGATGGAGCACCAGTAAAGACTCTGGCACAAAGTTCATACGAGCTTCACGGATGGCAATGCGGTGTTCATGTTAGCACATACCGATGCCCAGAAATTCACAATGTATGTAACGCCATGGAGAAAAAAAAAACAGAAAGTGCACATTGAGGACTCTTCCTAGACTTTATTCCTTCCCTTAGTTGATTTTAGTTCTATATCTTTTCCCTGACATAATCCATAACCATGAGTTTTAGCTGATGGCTTTCCCTGAGTTCTTGGAGTTCATCTGATGAATAGTGGAAACTAATAGTAATTTGGAGAAACTTCTCAGCTTGCATTTGGTGTTAGAAGTGACGCAGTCTTGTATACGTGTGTTCACTGACCTTTAGTTCACAACATGTGTATTTTTTTGTTGTTCCCAGTTATAATCCCATGTACCTAGAAAATTTCCAGCAGGTGGTCTCATCCACTAAATATTATATTAAAGAAATCTATAAAAGTAGTTAAAAATACAAGAAATTAAGGGGAAAATCTATGAAATCCAATATTATAGAAGTAAAACTTCCAAATAATAACCAAGTTCTCTTTTCATTATATTCTGAATAGTACTGTGATGTTTTCTGTGTGCAAAATCATTTGCCTCTGTCAGTGATAACTCCCAGAAATTTTAGAGACTACACACACACACACACACACACACACACACACGTGCACACACACACACACGTATATAGAATTAGGGAGTTTATTACGTGTTTGCTGTTTGTAGGAGTCACCACCAGATGGTGACATTTTTATTAGGTAAGGTTTTTTTTATTCCACATAAAATTTAAACAGGAAAGAGATAAGGTATGCAAAATACAGTATTTATTAGTGCTAAGACCTATATAGCTATTTTTCAAGGATAAGATATTTGGATGTAGCCAGGATAACTTAAAGGGCATTTCTATGCCAGAAACACCATTTTATAATCAGAATCACTAGAAAGTAAGTAAATTTAAGTAAGACTTGCGAAGTTTAAGCTTAGCTTCTCTGAAAATTTGGAGGAGCCCTTTATGATTATATATAGCCCAAGTAGGTTTTTCTTGTAGATTCATCTACTGTTGGCTTGAAGTTTGAAATGTTGTAGATTAGTAATCTGGTCCTAATTAGGCTCTCAAATTATGTCTTTGGGCTAAATGATCATGGCATTGTTTAAGTACAGGATAATTTAAAGTATATCGATGCCATATATAGTTCAACAACCAAGAAGAATTAAATAGGAATACCTTACGTTTGTTTGCTTTGATTTTGTTTTGTTTTATTTCCCTCAGTCTAGTTCCATGAACAGTGAAAAGAAAATGGAAAACAGGCAGAAAAATGACTATTACTGTCTTACAGTCTAATTCATACACTCTTTAAAACTCGATTTTCATCATCTTCTTCCCATTCGAAATGCTGCAATTTGAAAGATTTGTTTAGGCCAGGGATTTAGCTCAGTGGTGCCATGCCTGCCTCAAAGTGCAAGCTCCTGAGTCTGATCGCAGATACCAAAAAAAAGAAAAAAAAAAAAAGATTTGTTTACATTCAAATCTTTAGTATTTTCTTTAGTTGTATTATGATTCTAATTTGTTACCAAAATTTGCATTCTAAAATAGCAATAATACCTTTTTTTCAGAAAATTATACATCTAAATATATCAAAGTCTGTCCTTTACAAAGCATTATTAGAATATTCAATTTAGTTTTTCTTTTGTGGAGACATTCAGTATTAATGATTTATAACATCAGGCTGATTTATCTACTTGTCATTGTTTTAAAATAGTCACTGATTTTGATGATACAAAGCATTTAAAAATAAAATATATTTAGAGTGAGTATATTTGAATTTGTATCAATATGCTATGTATTATTTGGGACTTGCTTCGTAAACATGACTACTGGCATTATATTTGCTTGCAACATTTAGATAATGAGATATTACATGAGAATTGAAAGTTAGTTGAAATTTAATTTTGAAAATAAATTTCTTTCGTGGCAAAAAAAACTCTGTAAAGGTGAAACACCCTGAAAGCTCATGTGAAGTAATTTAGAATTTTGTATTAAATATAGGAAGTAGAAACCAAAATCAGTGACTATAAAAAACAGTTCTCTCAATCTATAAATAAGTTTCTGTGAGGTATGGGGACACAAAGTCTAAAATCATATAAAACATCAGTTAGATAATTTTGGAAAATAGACATTTAATGCATTTAATATATGTTTATGGAAAGATTAAAATAAAGCAATTTGAAGAAAAATCACTTCATAAGTTTTGTCATACATTCCTAATATTTTGACAAGATGATTTTTATATTTTTGCAATGTAATATATTTTAAAACTAATCTTGAAATGTATACCTTCCAATCATTTAACATAATACACATTGAATCATTCACATGAGATAACATGTTTTGGGGAAAAAAACAAGCTTAATATTTGAAGGAAAATTTTGTACACTTCAAGAATAGCTAAGAAAAGTTTTCCAATCTTCAGCTTTAAGAACCAACACATTTTTAAAATTAGAGGATTCTCCTCTGCTTTATCCAGAAGCTTGTTACTATAGTTGGATCCACTTCTCAGGATGTAATTTTCCTTCAGTTTCCATTCAGATAAACATAACAATTCTAGGAGCAAGTATAAATTAAGACACTGCTGTAGATTGGATCTCAAAGACTTGATTGATGGAGGTTTGGTGGTCAGGAAAGTCTGTTGGGGGGAACATGAAGTCTTTAGAAAGTGGGGCTTGGTGGAGGTTTTTAGGTCTTTGGGCACATATCCTCAAAGAGGACTGTGGGACTTTGGTCCCTTCTACCTCTCCTCTTTTGCTACCTGGATCACCATGAGCTCGATGGTTTTGCTCCACCATGAGCTCCCATTGTAATGTGCTGCCTTCCACAGCCCCAGAGTCAATAGGGCCAATCAATCGTGGACTGGAAACTGACACTGAGCTAAATAAACTTTTTCTCTCTACAATCTGATGACCTCAGCTATTTGTTATAGTGAGTGAAAGCTAACAGAAACTTTCCAATAATGTTTGAGTTAAAGACTACTTCTAACTTCATCTGTAACATACAACATATTTCTTTTAAAGCCCTTCTTTACATACTGAAAAGATGAAAGGAACATTTTAGAGAAAGAAAACAAAACAAAAAAAAGAACCACCCATTAAACTATTTGTACTTTACAGAAATTAAGGAACAACTAAACAACTATTTATACATTAGAGGCATGCATATTTCCAAGTTAGTATCTAATTTTCCATTTTACACAAAAATATTTTTCAACACCAGTGTAAAGCTGAAGCAGTAACCGGAATAAGCTTATTTTGCTAGCAACATTTAGACAAGCCCCTTCAAATACAACTTAGGAGTTTTGCTGCACTTCTTTCATTACCAAAATATTTCCTTTTTCCCTTGCAATAAAAGCAAATATTAAGTGTAGAAACATGATGGAAACAGTATATTCATTTGACAAACACAGGCAGAGACAGTAAACTAGGCAAATGTATTATTTAGAAAAGACTTTGTAGAAATCGAATAAGACATAAAATATTTTAATTACCACAGTGTGTGATCTTTAGGCAGCACATATAAATGCACTTAGTGTCTACAGTAATTCCAGCTCTTCACACTAAAAACAATTAACTAGTAAGTTAGTAAAGCTTATGTAAACTAAGAAATAAAAGGAAATAATTCTGGAAAGAAAGTTGTTTTGCACTTTGAAGTTGCAGAGCCGTTTTTGCTTCTAGTAGACCCACTGATCGCTAATTGCCCTTGCTTTCTTCTTCTTCTTGTTTCCTGTAAGCTTTATTTAACAACTGGATTTCTTCCTGGTAGCCATCCCTCTCTTGATGTTGCCTCTTACTGTTCTGTCTGTGTGCCTCAACAGTGTCTGGAATGGAGATGTTGATGTCACCATCAGGATTACTTGTGGGTAAAAAGAGAGAATAGGAGGCTGTTTCCCCTAAATCACAAGAAACGAATCTATTTTCTTTCCGTGAATAACGTAGCGAGGGAGATCTGACTTGGGTAGAAGACTGGCTGATGTTGCTAATAATTGACACAGTGTCCAAGGCTTCTTCATTATCACAAATTTCAAGAACTTCCAAGTGTATCTTCACACTAGTATCTGCAATTGTTGAGGGAGAATCCTCTGGGTTTGGTTCATGGCCAACACTTTTAGATCGATAGACTTCTATTTTCTTAGAGGCTGGGGTTATTTTTTGACCCTCTGCACTTACTTCATAGGTAGAAAGAGAAAGGGTTTTCCCTGTTGGTGCATGGAGAGACACAGTCCCTTGGAATGCACACAAGGGAATGGCGAGCCCACCGCTGGAACGCTGGGGACAAAAACAAAATGGTTATTATTGCAAATTAGTCTCAAGGATTGAGACATTCAGAAGTCCATTTCATGCACCAGGATCGTAAAGGTTTTTTGATTTTTGTGGTTTTTTTTTTTCATAGCCATTTCTCTGAAAACTGATTACCCACAGTATTTAGGATTTAAATTCTGTCACCAAAGCACCAAGCTCATTTCTGCTAGGTCAAAAACAATGTCTAAATGAGCATAGTCAGGAACATTTCTTTAAAGATAAGGGGCTTTTCCCCTCCACATTTGAAGACAAAACTGTACTGATGAGAAGCAATAGGGCAGATTTGGGTCATAAAATTGAATGTATATTTACAATTTGGAATTGCTTATATATTTTTGCTACATGTTCAGTTTTATTGAAAAGTTTTCATAAATTAAAAGAAATGCAAACTGTTATCATCATGCACTTCTCGATTAGCATGCCGGAGAGAATGTGGAACTATGACTGAAATGAGGTACAAAGGATTTTTCAATTCTGAACTTTGAGCATACCCGAGAGGAACCTAATGTCACAGAATTGTGCCACAGTATGCTTGCTTTTCCACAGAGAGATCACTCATTAAAGTAAACCCAACAACAGATAACTCTTTCACATCTCTGCCGAAATGTTCCTGAAAGTTTAAGCCTTTTTATTACACCTTTTCCCCCCTTTGGCATTGGACAGTGAATCCAAAGCCTTCACCATGAGCTACGTGCTCACTTGCTTTTCTCCTCCCTCCTTCCCTTTCTCCCTTTCCCTTTTCCTCTCCTCCTTCTCCCTCTCCCTCTCCCTCTCCCTCTCTCCTCCCCACTTCTCTCTACATTGCCCAAGCTGAGCTCAAACTTTCGATCCTCTTGATTTACCCTCGCAGAATATTCGTTTTACAGGTGGGCACCACCAGTTTTACATTAAATTTTATTTTAAACTGTACTCACCACTGTTAGGTACTTAAGAAATGAAGAAGAAAATAAAAATTGATTCCTGTAAAAGTCTGTGCTTTGCATTGGTTACTCCCAACTTCATGATTTCAACAACCTTATTTTCATTATCATGTTAATTTCATAAGGAAATGAACTATGTAGTGCTACTAGTGTAATAGTTCTCAAAACCGAGTGCCTTGACCAACATTGTCAATGTCACCTGATAACTTATGAGACTTTAAAACCCTACCCTGGATTTACTGAATTAGAAACTCTGGACGTAGAGTCCAGCAATCTGTATTTTAGCAAACCCTTTGAATGCTTCTGTTGCATGGTAAAGTTTGAGATACATTGCTCTAAGTAAAGAAATGTAATTTTAAAAAAGTAGGGAGATTTAACAAACACTTTTATACATGTATCAAGTACTTGAAAAGCCTGGAGTTACTAATTGGATTTCCTAAATGTGTGTGTCTACTGGGGGAATTGTCAGAATGTTAATGGTCTTACTAATTTAGAATGATGAAGCGTCTCAGTTTCCCTGGGCCTGTCTCGGGTTTAGCCCTGAAATTCAAGGATCCCAGGAAATCCCTGTCTGAGGAAATTTATTGGGGGAAGTGGGGGCTGGGATGTTGGGCACTTTATTTGCCATGGGCATTTTATGACTGGATGCAACAGAAGTGACTGAAGGAAATCCACTCTTTGAGAGAAGTTTGAATTTGCTTCTATTTAAAGAAATTTCTAAAAGAGAAGGAATCAGAAGCTTCCACTTTATTGGATGTAGGGATCATGATAAATACATTCTAGAATGTATGAAACATGTCTCCAGCTTTTGCCAGTCATCCCCAGTGTAGAAGTTTTGAATTCTGCTTATCCTTAGAGAAATTAGGAACTGAACTTTAGGGCTTTCAGACTTTGAAAACTTCTGATATAAAGTTGTTTAGCCCTTTGTCGTGGCAAAGAACTTCATCAATTCTGCAGGTATGGTGTTGGATAAAGAAGGAAAGGCAAGAGAAAAACACTTTTACATTCATTATGTTACCAGAACACTATTTGAGTGGTGGTAATTTTGGCAAAGAGAAAATGACTTAGTTTATTTTTATTCATTAAATGTTTGTTAAATATTTATATGTTTAAGAATCTAAGCTTACATTGAGAGTACAGTCTTCATTCAAAGACATCAGAGATGTTTCAGCAAGAAAAACAAGAAACAAAAATTTTCATTTGAAGTGTAGTCATTGAGATAGGAACTAAATTTTATAGGGTCCAGGGAATGTCCGGCAGATATATTTCATATAGGAGTGGAATTTCAAATTGCTCATAAGAATCATGGAATGCTTTGCATTTGTGTGTGTGTGTGTGTGTGTGTGTGTGTGTGTGTGTGTGTGTGCGCGCGCGCACGCGCGCGCATGCCAGGGATCAAACTCAGGATTTTGTGCTTGCTTGAGAGGCAGATGGGCCTGTGGCAGAACCACTGAGGTAAATCCCTGGGCCTGATTTGCACCTTTTAAAGCCAGCTTACTTGCCTGCCTGCCTGTCTTCCCTCCCTCCCTCCCTCTCTATCTTTCTACTATAAAACTGTAGCATGATATTAAGCCATTTTAACTATTTCATATACATGTTGCACATCTGGGTGATAATGCAAAATAATTTTAGCATAGCGTTATGTTGTTGAGTTAGGCATTCATCTTTTTAAATGGTATCATTATCAGTGTCATCATCCTTGGTAACAAACTTCACAGCTTTGCTTTGTGAGTGACAAATCAGGAGTTAAAGGGCCATCCTAAAACCTTCTCATCCAGAAGAAATATTTTTGTTACCAAGATAGAAGCTTCTGTCTTTTAAAATCAAAATTGCCTGAAACATTATTCAATTAGAATATCTGTCACCTATAATAGCATGTACTATAAATACAGTCTTTACTCTGGAAGCTGGTTAATACGAAAGCTGAACTCTCTTACATTATACTTTGTCATGAGAAAAAACAAGCCCACCTTAATCCTTCAAAAACTTTTTTTCCCTTGACATTGTGCACTAACTAAACAATGTGCTATGGCATATACTAGTTTAAAAACATGATGAGAAAACTGAACTCTCTGTCCCCAGCAGTATAGACAAGTCTATTTAAAAACAACCTTCACAAGAACATCTACATAATCATTTCTTTATATGCACCACCTTGCACCACTGATGAGCAGTTACTATAAAAGCAAATGAGATGATAAATTTTTCTGCATCTGATTTTATACTTTTTTTTTTTTGGTACCGGGGATCGAACTCGGGACCTTGTACTTACGAGGCAGACGGTGGAACCACTGAGTGAAATCCCTGGCCCTCATCTGATTTTAGACACTCCACACAACAAAGATTTTAATGACTTACCCATGCTAACCTTACCTTCAAATGAACAAACAAGCTTTACTGAGTGATCAAATGACAGCTCATTAAAATTGGCATTTGAAAATTGCATAGTGCCAGCATTTGGCTAAATATGAAGTCTGATATTTCTGAAATAGCACACAAAGTCCTCAATTATTAAAACCATTTTCTAAAATATTGATATTCAAATGGATAGCTTTCCTTTGAAAGTCATAGGGACAAAAATATAGACCACAAGAAAAAACAACCTGATAACAAATATACCAAACACTTTTGAGTAGATATTTCTCTAAAGAAGATATGCAAGGCAGGGATTTAACTCAGTGGCACCATACCTACCTCACAAGCACAAGGTCCTGAGTTTGATCCCTGGTACCAGAAAAATAAATCAGATTCCTATAGAGGTGATATCTGAACAAGATTTTTAAAAAATGACTAATAAAAAGATATGCAACTGCCCAACAAACACATGAAAAATGCTCAGTATTATCATTATCGAAACAAAACTACAATGAAATACTACTTCAGACCCTTTAGATTACTGCTATATAAAGAAAGAATTCATGTTGAGAAGGAATGCACACACACACACACACACACACACACACACAGGAATATTTGTACACTGTCAATAGGAATGTAAACTGGTGGAGCCATGATGAAAAACAGCATAGTACTTCCTCAGAACTCTAAAAGCAATTTTCATGTGATGTAGCAATTCCACTTCTTGTTAAAATTCAATTCAAAATAGGGTCTTGAGGGCCAGGGATGGAGCTCAGTGGCACAGCACCTGCCTGGCAAGGGTGAGAGTTCAATTCCCAGTACCAAAAAAAAAAAAAAACCAAAAAACAATTATATATATGTGTGTGTGCATGTGTGTGGTATTAAAGGGATGTTCATGCATCAGCATTCACAGCAGCATTAATTGTAATAACTGAAATGTGGAAGTAGCCAAGTATCATTGATAGGTGAAGGATTAAGCAAAACATAGTACACTCTTATAATTCTTCTTCAAAAAAAGAAGAAAACCTTGACATGTTATAACATGGGGAGTCCTTGTAGACATTATGGTAAGTGAAATAAGCCAGTCACAGAAAGATGAAAAATGTATACCCCTGTTTTATGAGAGTAGTCAAAATGTAGGGACAGGGCTAGGGATTTAGTTCAGTGGCACCATACCTGCCTGGCAAGTGCAGGGTCCTCCTGAGTTCAATCAACTCTACTGCCAAAAAAAAAAAAAAAAAAAAAAAAAAAAAAAAAAAAAGAAAGAAAGAAAGTGTAAGGACAGAAAGTTGGTTGCCAGATAATGGGGAAGGGAGCATTAGGAATAATTGTTTACTGGGTATACAGTTTCAGTTTTACAAGATGAGAAGACTCTGGACATGGATAGTGATAACTGTTTTATAGAAATATAAATAAACTTAGTATCACTGAACTGTACTTTTAAAAATGATTGAGTTAATACATTTATGTGTATTTTACCACAATTTAAAACAGAGAGAAAACTCCAGAGGCAGATTTTTAAAAAATGAATATGAGCAAACATTTAATACTGTTACTCCAAAATTGGCAAGTTAGTTTTTTGGTTTTGGTTTTTGTTTTTTTGGTACCACAGATCAAACTTGGGTCCTTGCACTTGCAAGGCAGGTGGCAGAACCACTGAGCTAAATTCCCAGCCCCAGCAAGTTAGTT